TCACTTGAGAGAAATAATATGCTAGGTGATTTAGAAGTCCGGTTAAGGTCTGTGCGATTTAGGTTAAGGAAAATTCTTCGATTTACAGTTGATTAAGATGAAATCGCTCAAGAAACCTGCAATTAAAGTGAATTTTGAACATTGGTCAGTCTTCGATTTATACTCAAAACAGAAATTGAACAATAACCTATGTGATGAAGGTGAAATCAATCAAGTTGCTTCTGGTTAGAATGTGAGCGATTTATGCTTCACCCAATGTGATGTCCAATTTATGCTTCACCAGAAAATTGATTTAGAAAACCGCTCAAACCTTAATCTCTAAATCGCTCAAGCTTCATCTCTAAATCGCTCAAGATTAATCTCTAAATCGCTCAAACAGGTTCCTTAATCGCTCAAGCTTAATCTCTAAATCGCTTGTTGATCCCAGATCTCTCAATAACACTAATAATCAAGTTAAGAATAACCACATTATAGTGTTTTAGTGAACAAAATGATGAACACTCAAGAACAATGTATGAACATTCAAAGAATAATCTTGAGTGCCAAAGGTTTTACTTTATTCAATAATAATGTAAAAAACGTAAAGCGTCCAAAATTACAATAGGTCTAACCACCTATTTATACTAGTAAGTTAATAAGAAGATAACTATCTAGTGAGACTATTTAACTAATCTTCTACTAACAGATAAAGCTTATCTATAATAAGGATAAACATTAAAACAATATAAACTTTGTAGAATCCAGCTGTTGAATGGTTATCTCCAGCTGTCTTCCATGGGATATGAGTTCAACCTTATCTTCATATCTTCATTGCTTGCCTCTGGTTGAACTGGTGAAGAAAACTCCAAGTGGTAGTATCCAGAAGGGTTATGGAGATGCACTTTCCATCGCATCTCTTGTCAGTTCATCGACCTTCTGGTTGTTCTTCAGACTTAGTCATTTTTCCTTTAAGTCTTCCATCGGCCTTCTGGTTCTTCATCACATGTTTGTCTTCGTTACTTCATACATTATACTTAAGGGGTCTAACATCGCTCAAACAGGTTCCTTAATCGCTCAAGCTTAATCTCTAAATCGCTCAAACAGGTTCCTAAATCGCTCAAGCTTAATCTCTAAATCG